AAGAGAGAAATAGAATAGACCAATAATCATAAAATAAATTGGAACAGTTGTCAAAGTCTATCTCCTCCTCCCTTCACAAAGGGCCAAGAGCTTTATGACAAATTATACCATATTTTTAAGGAACAAATAATGCCCATCAAACTGTTTCAGAGTGTAGAAAAAAGTGGAGCTACACAGTTTATTTTGCAAGGCTAACATAACTTTGCCGTCAAAACTAAGGAGATTTGCAGGTCAGTCTCATAGAAAATAATTTTACGAAGTTCAATACTTCTGATAAAAAATCTTACCAAGTGAGGACTTAAAAGTACTACTTTAACTAATAAATGGAATGTTCCAGAAATCTTCAGCAAACATGATCTGTAATGGAGAAGTGGAGAAATATTAAAGCAATTCCAGTAAGTAGGAAACGACGAGAGTGCTCTCACCTGTTTAACATTGTCCTGGAGGTATAATATAATTATAGAAATAAGAAGAAAGATTAGAAAAGAAGAGACAACTGAAAGAACCAAGTGAAGCAACTAACAAACCTACCAGTACTAATAAGATTGGTTAGCAAGGGAAATGAGTATAAGATCAGCATAAAATTAGTAACTGTTCATATGCCATATCCGAAAGATGACACAGAAAAACAAAAGCTACTGAAAAAGACATAGCTAAAACAGATGTCAAAAGATGGGGCAGGTCAGAACAAGTTATTTACAACATCTTAGAGAATAATAAATTAAGAAGAAAAAAATGTAACTTAAAAATAGCCTAAGTGTGTGATTAGGAAACATAAATGGCTGATAATTATAACATACATAAGCACACTAGTAATCAGGAAAACACAAATTGAGACCACACTGAGATATCATTTTTATCCAAAGATTGGCAAAAATTAAAAAGCTTGATAACGTTAAATGACGAGAATGTGGAAAAATGGGAACTCTCATTCAATGCATGTGAGAAAGTAATGTAGTACAGCCAGTCAGGAGGATGGTTTGGTAGAATCTATTGTAATTTAAAATGGGCATGTCATAGACCAACAGCTGCCCTTCTTCGTATCTGTTCTATTGGTATACTCACATGTTTAGTGCACAAGGATGCGTATAAAGGGATATTCAATGCAGTGATGTTTGTAAAAACTTGGAAACAATCCACTTGTCCTTGAATAGGGAAATGGCTAAATGAACTGTGATAGGAATTTTTTATAGAATACTTTGTAGCCTTTAAAAAGAATATGATCACTATATGTGCCTGTCCAGGGTAGATCTCCAGGATACGTTGTTGAATGGAGAAACTATAACTATAGTCATAGTGGGGTACCATTTATGTTTTTTTTTTTTAAGAGACACCAAATTGGATATTGAAAGAGGTGAATTTATTTTTTTTAAAGATTGGCACCTGAGCTAGTAACTGTTGCCAATCTTCTTTTTTTTCCTTCTCCCCAGTACATAGTAGTATATATTCTATACATATGAGTGAGTGCCTCTGGTTGTGCTATATGGGCCTCTGCCTCAGCATGGCCTGATGAGCAGTGCCATGTCCGAGGCTGGCATCCCAACCACTGAAATCCCGGCTGCCAAAGCAGAGCACAGGAACTTAACCACGCGGCCACGGGGCTGGTCCCAGGATACCATTTATGTTAAACATACATCAGTGTCAGTAAATAAAATGCACGGTGTCTTCAGGACTAGAAGATGGATCATTCGCGGGTGAGAAGTATGCTGCATGATGAACCTGGAAAGGCAGACTGAAGCTAGGTTTGGAGGAATCTTGGATGCTGTGCTCAGGACTTTGGGCTTTGTTTTGTAGGTAGTTTAGTTCTACGTGCTTTCCTGAGGAAGGCCCGAAAGGATGGCATTGCTAATTTACCGTGGTGTGAAGGCACATAGGCTTAAAGGTGGATTTTTGATGACAAAGTTAGAAGGGATCTACCTCTTGGAAGATTATCGTTATCTAAATTCATGATACTGATGTCTAAAGCAGTAGGCAGTTAACTCATTTACATAATGAATAATTGCTATGGAGATGAGCTCCATGTGACCTTCAAATCCCCTCTCTGTGGGCTAAGCTGCATGGGAAGCCAAAAAGTCAGGACAGTGCTTAGTGAGCATGGGGTCAGAACATGGGAGATAAATAAATTCATATTTAATGGCATCAAATAAGAGCCATTTTTATCACAGAATAGGAATTCTCTTATTAATGAGGCCAAGACTACCACTCAAAACCTGTATTTTGAGGCTTCCCTTCTCAGGACAGTGGTTGCACGGACAGTGACAATAATTGCCTTTGGGCTTGCTTTTTCTGAGCTGCTATTGCTCATCAGATCCCCTTAGCGTTGGTATGCTATAGTCAGGAAATGATGGGGCTCGACTTTGAAACTAAGATTGGGAAGATGGATAGATTTAACAGAGTTTGGGAGGTAAAATGCACAGAACTTGGTGACCAGGTGGATAGAGCCTACAGGAGGAAGAGTTAAAGTGCGCTAAGATGTCTACTACTGCTAGACAGGGAAACATGGGACAGGAAGTGCTGTGTTTGGGGGCAGTCACATGAACAGGAGCACAAAGGTGGGAAGGTATATTCAAGGAGCCACTGTTAGTCTGTGTGATACATGAAGGAATCTGACTAGTATCACTTGATAGGCAGTTGATCTAAAGGGGCTTCAAAATGTTGGACTGGAGTGATAATCCACTGATGCTTTCTGAGCAAGGAGTGGCATGATCACGTCTACTCCAAGAGTGACACAGTTAAATAATATTTGAACATAATGGTTGCTGGTACTGTGGTAGCTATAGTCGTCAATAATTGAATTGATTAATTACTGAATTTTTCTGCTTTCAATCAGGTAAGTTGGTTTAATATAAGTAGTTCAATTATTTCTTAATTCTTTTTGTTTTAATATTCTGGAAAGTGAGAGAGAACCTCAGGAATATTCTGTATGGAGTCCCTCAAAGAAATATTCTTTATTTCTCAGAAAATTTATCTGATGGGACAATTGATCCTGTTGGTAACTTCAGACAACCTCAGTGATTGTTCTGTAGAGCTTAAAGTAAATTGAATTACTTGAATTAGAATTAGGTAATTGGAAAGAAATGTTCAAAGCATAGAAACATACAAAGTCTTGAAATATCATTAAATTTAATTTTTAAAAACATTCTCTTGAGTCAATTTAAAATATTGCCAAGTAGTTTATTCCTTCAATACTAGAATCACAGTTATCACACGTAATTTAATTTGTTTGGTGAAGACATTGTAAACTACATTAAAAATGAATTTTCTGCTCTAAAATATACACTGAAGCTATTTAAATGCTTGTTTCTTAGTAAATCAACAGGGATAAACTTAAGGCAAGCAACAGACTGCTAGCTTCAGATTTCTGTCTTCTGGACTTTCCTTTCCTCTTGTGCTTGTGAGCGGCAGGCCTTCCTGGGACAGATGTTGTATGTGGGGCGATGTGGCAGCAGGAACTTCCTTTCCTTTTCCGCTAGAGCCATTCGAGCTTTCCTTCGTTTTTACCCTTCCTTTTTCTTTGAGCTTAATTCTGCCCTTGGCCTCTGAACACCTGTGTTTTTTTTGCCAGGACCAGGTGAGGCCATGGTCTGTGATGGCATACCTGACAGTGGTGAGATGGGAAGGAAAAGCGGGTCTTATGACTAGAGCCGTGATCACATTCCATCTGCTCCTCATAGTATGAGTTCCCAACACCTGTGATAAAATACCCAGGGTATTTTCCTCTGAAGCTTAGGTGGATCTTACATAAATCTTTTATATTCCCCACAATCCACCAACAGCACAGGATTGCTGTGAAAATGTGTTGTTGGTGGGTAGCAGTGTGAAGGACTGTAGGCAGGTTAATCTCTTTAGCTGGTGGAGGAGAAGAAAGGGATGGCCAGGAAGCCAGCCTTGAACTGGGGTTAAGTTAGCAGGCAGCCTGGGAGGGTTTTCTGCGCCTCTCCCGATGTCAGGTTTTGCTTTTACAAGAGAAGCTTCCAGGAAGTGAGTGGGGTTTTGTTCTCTGTACTGTTAGCAGGGCCTCTCTTGGGTCTCCTGCCTGCCCTTCCCCTAATTTTTCTCGTGAGCACCGCTGAGGCCTGTGGAGGAATGCTGGTGCGTGAGCGTAGACTTTGTGTCGGGTTCCCAGGGATTCTACGCTCAGTGTTCGCCTACATCCGGCTTTTAGTGGTTGTGAATGTTGCCGTTGTTTTCTTCTTACCCCCTTGTATGGCACCTGCCTCTTCCTCCCGTACTCAGTTTTTTTGTCTCTTGTTAGAGGGGCTTGTCACCCTTTGGAGCTCAGTTCACCTGATTGAGAGGACCTCAGCTTTCTGACATGCTGCTTTGTCTCATTCTTAGGGTGAGAACAAGATTCTCTTATGGCTACAGAGTTTATTCTAGTTTTCTTCTTTTCTCTATTGGCTACCACCTCTCTAACATTGAGAAACCTGGCTCACATTGTCTTTAATATGTAGACTTATTTGATCAATTCCCCTGTATGTAACCAATTTCCCATCACTGCCACCATCCTCTGCCACTCACAGATACCACCTTACTCCATTCGGGTTATGACATCCCAAACCAGGCTACTTATGTGTCTGGATGCCATCCTCATTTCACTCAGCTCTCACCCCCATGCTTACCCCAACCTTGGCTTCCCTCTTTTTCCCACTCAGGCCCCAGCACCCCACTCTCGCCTCTTCTGTGCTTGGGCTTTGACTCTCCACTTTAGGACACCCAGTATGGATGCCCTCGTCACCCTACCTGGGCTCAAATACTCCAGGCCACCCCTCCATACAGGTGCCTGCTTCACTCTGGCCCACCTAATGGCTACAGGACTGATTTGTTCAAGAAGGGAAAGAAGGGGAAAGAGGAAGGAGAAGAAGGGAGAGTGGATGGGAAAAAGGAAGGCGCATGCACTTCTGTAAGGAAAGACTGAGTTTCTGAATTAGTAACCATGCTTTAGGTGTAAATAAACTAATAAATATATTTTAAGCATGTGTATTTTGTCTTTCTAACAGGTTATGAAGTTCATGGGATGGAAAAAATACCAGAGGAAGGACCAGCACTTATAATTTTTTATCATGGAGCTATTCCCATAGATTTTTACTACTTCATGGCTAAAATTTTTATCCAGAAAGGCAGAACTTGCCGAGTAGTAGCTGATCACTTTGTCTTTAAAATTCCAGGTAAATTTTCACGGTAGATAATGATATTAAAATATTTAATTAACATGATCAAACTATGTGATAGTTTATGTCTCTGAGCTCTCTGGTATCGTTTGGAAGAGCTTTTTGCCTTTTCAGGGTGACACCCTTGGAACTCCAATTTAAGAGTGTCTAATTATCCTTTTTAAGTAATATATCTAAATGTCAAAACTTTATGGCCAAAATTTTCTTTCTTTATTAACTGGTATTTAGTCATTATTTTCCGAAGTTAAATCCTGAGCTTCACTTCTTAAAAATAAATATAACTTTTGCCAAACAATTAATTTATGTTTTGGTGTAGCAGATAGTTTATTTTTCATATGACGAATTTTTTCAATGATTTTTGGAGTTTAGTTTTATAATGATTAGTGTTTGATTACTGTCAGTTTGATAGCAAATCAAAATTAGTAAAAAAATTAGCCAGGATGTATTTTGTCTTCATGTAGAATAATATTTCCTCAGAAATCCTGTCCTAAAGAGTCTATTATATCTTTTATCATACTTGACTTGCCTGGTAGACTTATAACGCTTAAAATTGAGGACTACATTCTTTTTAATCTGTTCATAAAGGCTTTCTACCTTTTAAAAAAGATTAATTAGCTGAATGGTTTCAAACATGATAAAGTTTTAAAAAATCATTCTAAAATAAACTCATTGAGATTAAATCTTATTTTCTTCTGTCACTAAATCACCAGAAACAAGCTAAGAAAGTGTATAATATGTTCTCTGGAATAATAAAAGCAAAGGCCACCCATCAACCAGGCAGATAAACACCAAGCAGTGAATGAAATGACAATCTACTCAGTGCCTTTCATAGACATGGTTAATGTTTTGCATATCCTTGTGTCACTAAAAAGCCCTTTCTGCTTTGTCTGTAAACTAAATTGGCTATAAAAAATTTTTCTTTAGAAAGTAATATGATCACTTTATAATAAATTTGGAAACTAGAGAAGAGTAGACTATCATTATAATCTCACCACCCTAACATAGCCAGTTATCAGTTTGATTTATTTTGCTTCATTTTTGACTTGAATTTTTCACATATTTGCAAACTATTTTGTGTTCTTTTTAAAAAAAATTTAATTTAGCATTAACATTTTCCCATATTTTATAAAGAATAGTTTTAATGTGTGACTAAAATACTTGATTAAGTAGTTTTCTCTTATGGAACATTAGGTTGTTTCCATTTTTTTTTTCTTTTTATACATAATAGAATGTGAATATTTTTATTTAACATTTGGCTTTTTTTTGTGGTGAGGAAGATTGTCCCTGAGCTAACATCTGTGCCAGTCTTCCTCTATTTTTTTTGTATATGGGATGCTGCTTCCACGTGGCTTGGTGAGCGGTATGTAGGTCTGCGCCCAGGATCCGAAGCTGTGAACTCTGGGCCGCCAAAGTTGAGTACACAATCTTAACCACTACACCACTGAGCTGGCCCCTAGTATTTGGCTTTTAAACTATTTTTTTCCTCTTTATGATCTTGTAATTTATGAAACCTCCCCTGTTCATTTCTTACGAGAATGCATATAGTTAAATCAGTGAACTTTTAATGTAATGTAGGATGAAAACTATTTCAGTCTTAATAATATTTATAATCTTGCTTCAGATCCTTAAACCTATGAGAAGTTTGGTTAGTCTGTACAGTTTTCACTACCCATCCCCATATTTTCCAGTCTCAAGGAATAATGTATACTAACATCAGTCCTCTAAAGTTCCAGTTTAGGATTTGGTTAAAATATTTAATTACTGATAGAATTATTTCTTGCATCTATAAGTAGTTATAATTTGAAAAACTGTATAATATTAAGACCTAGAATTAGCTGTTCCTGAGTTAAACACTCACTTTATTAAAAACTCTTAGTGATTTTGCTATTATTATTGATTTTAAAAAATTTAATTGTGGGGCCTGGCCCCGTGGCATAGTGGTTGAGTTTGCACACTCCACTCCGGTGGTCCAGGGTTCACAGGTTCAGATCCCCAGCACGGAGTCAAGCCACACTATGGTAGCATCCCACATAAAATAGAGGAAGATTGGCACAGATGTTAGCTCAGCAGCAATCTTCTTTAAGCAAAAAGAGAAAGATTGGCAAAAGATGTTAGCTTAGGGCCAAGCTTCCTTACCAAAAAAATTAAAAAAAAAATTGTGGAATTAACATCTAACTTTTCGTTTCAATAGATTTGATTGTGGCTTGCCAATTTTGGCAGGGCTAAGCATAGTCAGATTCATGTTCTCTTGAGTGATTCTCTTACAGGGTTCAGCGAAGATTAGTTTGGTGATGGCTGATGGGTTACCATTTCCGATTGCACTAATAAATACTGTAGACAGTGTTTGGCCATGAGATGCAGCAGAAGGTGCTTTGGCCATACATGCCTGAACCGGAATCTCTGCCCTGCCATTTGCTAAGTGTGTGACTTTGAGCAAGCTACTACTCTCTGAGCCAACTTTCCTCATCTGTAAAATGGGGATAAGAATCCCTGTTTTGCAAAGTTTCTGTGAATTTTAATTGAGTTTGAATACATAAAGTAGCCAGAGTAGTAGATGATCACTAAGGAGGTGATCATTAGTAGGTGATCCAGAAGACATAATTATTACTTTACCAACAGTATTAATCTTACATTAACCCTAAGAGTTCTTGTTGATTTTAAAAAACGTAAAGAAGAACTTGCTGATTTAAGTATAGATAGTAAGTTGTGTAGATTGTGAAAATTTTTGTCTTAAAGAATAGACAAGAAGTACTTAAGATATGTCTTCATCCTAATGTTTCTTACAGGGTTTAGTTTATTACTTGATGTATTTTGTGCTCTACATGGACCAAGAGAAAAATGTGTTGAAATTCTGAGGAGTGGTCACTTGTTAGCTATTTCACCAGGTGGAGTTCGAGAAGCCCTAATTAGTGATGAAACCTACAACATCGTATGGGGTAATCGTAAAGGCTTCGCTCAAGTTGCAATTGATGCAAAAGTGGTGAGTTGGATAAAACTAATTATTAAAGTAAAGCTAGGTTGAATTTAAAATAAATGCTTAAATAGTGAGCCAAAGTATATAAGAATGTAGATACTTACATTGCACTGTTTTAAAAATCAGTGTATATAGCTCTTTATAAGGTAACAATAGAGAAATATATTTCTTGTGCATGGGAAGCCATCTTTAAGAAAAATAAATCTGGAAATCTGGCAAATATCTAGCAGAGTTTTATTTTACATTTCAAAATCTGGCTTCTTTTAATCAGATTTGTAAAATTCTTTGTATTCCCTCAGTTATCTTTTTTCGTAAGTATAATCCAATTCTATGTATTTTAATCTTTTGGTACAATTGAGTTGGCATATTTCAATGCTGGTTGTTGGTTGGTTCCATTACAATTCTTTCATCTTTGACCGATTTATATAACAATAGGACTCAAATAATATGTGACTCCTATCATTTTTTATCAATAAATGTGATCAGCTATCTAGTAGTATGAAGATGAGAAATAGATATTGATGTAATTTTGATATTTTTAAAGACTTTATGAATGAATTAGTCACTAAAATTAAGTGTTGCTCTGGGATTCACTGTAATTATTCTACTTGGTAGACTGAAGAATGTGAAAGCCATTTGTCCCTTTCTTTTGCTTTGGTTAGTATTTCTTAGCTTTGTGGTCTCCATATTGTACTTTATCCTATGAAACACTTATTTATTACTTATGGAATGTTTCTTCTTTGTTTTCATTTTAGATTGTCTGTCAGAAAAAGAAATTGTAGTACCTTTGGCAAGGTGGTGGTGTTTTTTCAGGCCAGTTAGTTAGAATACTGTCAGTCCTTTCACATTTCACTTTTTTTGTATACCCATTGCTGCCACATAAAGAGACCAGTCTGCACCCTTAGCTTGCCTGTTCACCTTGCAAATACAGACTGTTGATTAAAAAGGAAAAGATTATGGGTGACTCATTCTAACCCAAGACCAGTATTTGAAGAAGAATGGAAATTTTTATATAAGTTTTTGGTTGCAAAGTTAAAGTGCATTGAGCTTTGTTCTCTCCCGTACATGTGTGTATATAACTCCTAGAAGTAAGTTATTGCTACAGTGCTTTAATAATGTGATCCTAGTATAAAAGTTAATGTGCCTGCCCAAGTGCTTAACAATAGACAATGTAAAAATTTAAACACTACTGTCCTTCAGTAGATTGTCAACTCCCTGAGGACAAGGCCGTCCTTTATATTCTGAGTCCCTAGAACAATGACTAGCACTTAGTAGGCTATTTGTATTTGTTGAATTGAATTGATTTTTTTAAACACAATATTAAACATTACTAGAAAGGAGCTTTTTGAATTTAATTTTATGTTAATAGTATTAGTGATATAGAAAATTAACTTATAACACATTTATTTTCCAAAAAGTCTTAAGTCCTGATATAGAAAACAAAACCTTAGACTATATGAATAATATAGACTACAAAAGGATATATGCACAGTTGTACAAAAAGTAAGAAAAACCAATGTAATGTGTATTAAAGCAATGATAAAAGCTAAAAACCTAATCAAAGATAGTTCAATTTTTAGGCTTATATTTTGAAAGAATTATTTCTTCTAAGTTTTAAGATAAAAATGACAAAAATAGATTTGGAATCACATAAATTGATCATCGGATTCTAATTTCTCAGCTTTGAGTTTACAGTTTTAAGGAACATCATCTGGAAGAAGGCCTGAAAGAAAGAAATTATATAGAGAAAGAAACTCTTTTTTCCAATCCTTGAAAGAGTTTCTAGAGAATTGACATAATCTAGATAATTTAATTAAGGCTTTTATACAAAAATGAGAAAATTTAATAAACAGTCTTTTCTAAGTTTTAAAACAAAAGTCTTTAACGTTTGCTGATTTACAAAATAGCAATATAAGTTTGATAACTATTGTACCACTTCAACTTTTTGTAGTGCTTTTAAAGGCTTTCTGTTGGTACTCCTGTAGTAAGTAGGTGACATATGTAATTATTCCAATGTTGCAGATGAGGAAACTCAGTCACAGAGAGATGAAGGGATGGAGGGATCGGGTCATGCAGCAAGGCAGAAGCAGAGCAGAGCAAACAGTTCAGGACTGCAGGCAATGGTGCTGTTGCCATCCCTGACTGCGTTTCACAGTGAGTCTGCTGACCTTGAGATTAGAGGGGCCTTCCAGGTACATGAGGGAAATCTCTCAGTCACATGAGGATATAGTTGTAAATGGCACAAGTATCCCGTCTGGAAAACCCCTTCACAGGCCTCACACAATTATCGTAAACTTTGAGTAAAAATTTAAGACTGTTGTTGCAGGATTAACTACATTTAAATTGTGACGTAGAAATTAAATTGAAAAAAAATCTAGATTGTCAATGCAAGTTCGTAAAATATTGGTAGAAAATATTTAAGGTTCATCTGAAAGTTACAGGCTTTTTGATATAACATAAATCTCTTATTTTGTGAGTTTCTGAGAATTATGGTTTTGATAAGTAGTTTTAGGTCGCTTCATATCTAAATAAGTTGGGAAAAAAATTTGCCCATTTACTCTAATTGGAAAACAACAGATGTAAAAGAAAATAGCATTTGTTTCAATAAAATTGTTTATGTGTATTATTGTAATCTATAAAAAACCTTTGAGATAGGAAAATTATTATTACCCCCATTTTTTACATGAAGACTTAGACATGGTAAGTAACTTGTCAAATGGTTCCTGCTTTTTTTAGTGGCGAAGACTCCAAGACCATGTTAAATTGTTTCCGCAAGACTAGTTTTACCAAAATACACCTCTCTCTCTCTTGCACACATATGTGCACACACGTACATACAAAGACACATGTATACATGTAAGCAGAATTTAATTCTGGGTTACTTATGCAGCTACCTTGTATACAAAGTATGTACAAGGAAAGGAATGAATAGTTGTTCTAGAGTATCCAGTTGTAACAAGGTAATAATGGTTTGTAGCTTTAAGGCTGCAAGCTTGAATGCAAATTTAGAAACCATGTGTCCAGACTATAGCCTGGAATACCCAACCTGCTAGGGTAAGCTTTCTCCTGTTTAGTAGAGTCTAGAAAAGTCCAGCTTCTGGAGAGTTAGCTATTTAAAGGATGATATGTAACCTGAAGAGTCTTTATAAAGTGCACACTTGAATACAACTTTGCAGTTCATGCTAGTCAGTAGACATAAATCCAGCAGTACTGGTCAGAGAAGGCAGAATGGTATATATATATATATATATATATATATATATATATATATATGAGCTGAATGGTTTCTGTTCCTTTTTGGGCATTTTAAATTTTCACCTCTAAAGACATTTTATAGCTATTGAAGACATTAGGATTTCAACCTTTTATTTTACAAAACTAGTGGTGGTTTTCTAGATTATAATCTGAATTTTTTACAAAAGAGTCAGTATACTTTGTCTTATGTGTTAGCTTTGTCAGTTAACTCCATCAGATTTTAAATTCTTTACCTGACTACTTTTCTTTACCTGACTGCTCGTTTTTCTAACTGGTTTTAAGATTGCTACTGCCTATTTCTGCCTAATTCGTTAGAAGCAATGTCTCTCTGTTCTGTTTGTTCATTCATCACACTTTCTTTTAGCACTAAATCTGTTCCAGGCACTGTTCTAGGTGCCGGGGGTACAGTAGTGAACAAAGCAATGTGTCTGCTCTTAGGGGTCTTCCTTCTGGTGAGAGGAGAGATGCAATAAATAAATGATCAGTTACATGCGACGCAATAAGTTTTATGAAGAAAGCTATACTTTTAGTCTCTTTCCTTCTGTCCACCATGTTTTACTGTTTTCCAAAGCTGAACAGGAATGACTTTTTAAATGTTAGCTTATTTAAATATTTCAAACTCTGCTCACTAAGGCAGGTAATTCTGATTTAGGCAAATGCTGATGGTAGACTACAAGTAGAGTGGTGCTCACTCCCTTCCCCAAGTTTTATCTATTGTAAAACATCATTTAATTTGGTATATTTTGTATACAGGTTAAAGTGTTTCATTCAATTTTTTATCTACTTCAGTTCCACCATAGCATAACCTCCTTGCATGATCCTTTGCTACTTCATCCATTGTTTTATGACGTTTAGTTAACGTCGCCATTTAAAAAAGTCATACTTAATCATTGATATTCATGGAAAAATAAAACCCATGAATATGTGAGCAGAAATCCTCTAAAACTGATATACAAAGTTCTTTTCTATATTTCCTTTTTCTTTTTGAGGAAGATTAGCCCCATGCTAACATCTGCTGCCAATCCTCCTCTTTATTTTGCTGAGGAAGGCTGGCCCTGAGCTAACATCCGTGCCCATCTTCCTCCGCTTAATATGTGGGATGCCTGCCACAGCATGTAGCTTGACAAGCGGTGCCATGTCCGCACCCGGGATCCAAACCGGCGAACCCTGGGCTGCCGAAGCGGAATGTGCACACTTAACTGCTGTGCCACTGGGCTGGACCCCGCTTTTCTTTTGAAGTGAATCTTGTAGTTACTTTTCATTGATGTTGGACATTTTTAGGTTTAATAAGCTCACACACAAAAAATGGACCCATCATTTAAATTTATATAAATTTGCTGTAGAGAGAATCTCTATCTTGTAACTTTTCCTTCAGTGAGCATACTATTCAGTAGCACACTAAAACCAATTTAATTTACCAGATTCATTTTATTTAATGACGTTATGATAACTGTAATCTTTATTTCGAGTTTCAGGTGATTATGTGGAATGATAGGAAAGCTGGTAAATGAAATACTAGATACTACCACTAGAGGGTGGTGTTTCCCATTTATATTTTTACAAATGATCAAGTTAAATTTAGTCTGATAAATCACACTAGTGATAAAGTATATCTTTATTTTAAAATACCCTATTTTCATAATCTTAAACAGGCTCTTAAAAGTTTGCACTAGTGACTCAATAGAGACATTGAATGGATTAATTTATTTACTTTTTAATTCAAATTCTCTCTTTAGCCCATTATTCCTATGTTTACACAAAATATTCGAGAAGGATTTAGATCACTTGGAGGAACAAGTAAGTTCTGATTCATATGGTTTTTATAATTATAATGTAGTATTTAGAATGTAACATTTTAAATATTTGGGCTTTTGAACTCTGTAAGGAATCCTATTGAATTGTCACTTTAGATAATGGATGTACTATTTAGATGTTTTTCTGTGTAAAGTCTAAATGATAACTGATTCTAAGTAATGGCAGTTCTTTAGTTAGATTTTTGTTGAGTCTCATATACATACTGAAGCTTATTTGTCAAGGGTTTTTTGAAATTACAGAGTGAATTATCTAATTTACTGTGTTAAACCATATTGTTGAGGTTTAGAACAAATTTACGTATTACCCAGACTATCTTCCTAACTTACCCCTGAAGGAATATGATGTTGAAATAAGATTAACAAGCTAAGGAGATACCATTTGCTTTGGTTTATTTCTGTTACTTCTTGCTTTTTGTTTTTTTGTTTTTTTTTAAATATTTTGAACTACGATACATTTACATTGAAGAGTTCTTTTTGCCTACCTCTAATTTATTGATAACAGAATAATTTGGATCTAGTTATAGGAGTGATAACAGTTAGATTTTGCTTTTTCTTTGCTGTATCTTTGTTGCTTTCTTTTATTTTGAAATTTTTGTAGTTTGTTTTTGTATCCGCTGGTTTATGTGTTCTAGCTAATTGATTATATTTTATATCCCTAGCACTGTATTGTTAGTGTTCCCATCCACATGCAACTCTCCTCCTGAAGAGCTTTAAACTGCTGTTGTTTCTTTTATGTCTAATGTTAGTATATTGTTGGTATTCCATTATGTTTTTTAGGTCTTACTTTTTTTTTCCAAATTTAAGTGGAAAGGCAGATTGATGTAATATTTAACTTTTGTTGTAGAATTATTTCTTCTAATTTTCTTTGGATTATTTCTGCAGAATTTAAGTTGCAACCCAGAAGTTATTCCTAATTTTGTTTCTTTAATTGTAAAGTGGTTTTAAAATTCTTTTTGACTTTTTCTTTTACATTAACAGTTGAATATCTCAAAAATTAGTCTAGTGATTTTTTTGAGTATTACTTTGGGTCTTATGGTATATTCTCTGTTTCCTTATGTAAACAGTGTTTTAAAGTTTCAGTATAGTTCATGACTGTGTATTTCATGTTGCTTGCCGTTTTGGATTCATTTTTTTTTAAACTTAGTCCATCAGTTTGTTTTACATTATTACCACTTCTAAAAATCTTGCTAAATTTCATTCTTGGTCATTTGCATTAATAATTCCTTGCTTGTGTTTTTTTCAATTTACAATAATGTTTTTAGTCTTTACCCAGTTTATTGGATTTTTATTACCCATTTTAGTCTCAGGTTTACATTAATTTACCTTATGCTTCCTTTTTTTTCTTCTTTTGTTCATATAAGTCATGTATTTGAGAGTCTCTAGACTTTTTAGCTTCTAGATTTGGTTGAAGTCTTTACCCTTTGTTTTGCCTTTTAGGATTCTCATATTTTTTAAAGATCGTCTTTTCTTTTTGATTAACAAACATTATTTTGTTGAGCACTTTTAGGTTTACAGAAAAATTGAGTGGAAAGCACAGAGGATATATACCCCTCTCGTCCCCCAGTTTCTCCTATTAACATCTTGCATTATTGTGGTACGTTTGTAACAATTGATGAGAAGCTCATCTTTTAAAAAAAAAATACTGTATTAATTGCCAGGAGGTGATACTGTTTTCCACCTTGCTCGAAGTCTTACGTATTACAGTTTGAAAGTTTACAATTACATTCTCAGAATATTTAACCAATTAAAATGATTTTGTTACTTTAAAACAGGGTTTTTTAGGTGGCTTTATGAAAAATTCCGCTATCCATTTGCTCCAATGTATGGAGGTTTTCCAGTGAAGTTACGCACCTATTTAGGGGATCCCATTCCGTATGATCCAAAGATAACAGCAGAAGAATTAGCTGAAAAGGTGAATTATTCTTTATTTCTTAGTCTTCGGATGGATTTTTGCTTTCAATTATCATATTAAAAATTTATTTATTCATTTATTTATTCATTCATTCAATAAACATGTTTCAGATCTGTGGGGACTTTCCACCCAGGGGACATTTGGTTACGTCTGGAGACATTTTTTATTGCCACGATGGATAGGACTTGGGAGGTGGTGGTGCTACTGGCATCCAGTTGGTATAGGCCAGGGATGCTGGTAAACATTCTAAAATGCACAAGACAGCCCCCACAACAAAGAACTGTCCATTCTAAACGGGCAGTATGCTGACATTGAGAACCCCTGTTCTTGGCACTGATAGTTATGAAGTTTTGTAAGTGATGTTCAGAAAAAGAAAGCTTTGACCTCCATGAAAAGAAAGAAATTGTTCCTGTCTGGTAGAAATATCTTGGGAGGAAAATGGAATCGTGTTTAAGAGTGTGGATTATGAAGTCAGGTTGTTCCTGGCTCTGCTATTTGCTTGCTGTGAGACCTTGGGCAGTCCCCACCTCACTCTCCTAGTCTGCAGAGCAGAGAAGAGGATAGTACCCACTCATAGTTATCCCTGAGGAGTGCATGGGGTTCTTCATGTTGATTGTTTAGAACAATGTCTGGCAGATAGTAAGTGCTCCATGAATGCTGGCTTACTGTTGTCATGGTCCACTGGGGCGGATAAATAACGGGATCGGTGTTTATAATGTGATAAGTGTTACCACAATGGTGTGCCTATGGCAGAGTTTCTCACCCCGGGCACTATCGACATTTTGTTACGGGGCCTGTCCTGTGCGTTGTGGGATATTTACCACCATCCCTGGCCTCTACTCACTAGATGCCACTAACTCTCCCCCTCCCCACCTCTCACCAGTAATGACAATTAAAAAGTGTCTCTAGACACTGCCATATGTCCCCACAGAGGGCAAAATCTCCCCTGGTTAAGAACTGCTGTGCAGGGTATTATGGAAGCACAAAGGAAAGGCATCTAAATTAGATCAGGGACGCCTCCTTGAGGGAGGTAATACTTGGACTGAGTTCTGAAAGACAAGAAGGGATTAGCTGGGCAAAGAGTAATGAGGTAGAAGAAACTGAATGTTTAAAGGGACGGCAACATGAAATAGTAGAAAATCTTTGGGAAGTTGAGGGTAGTCTGGTTTAGCTACTAGGGAGATTGCAGGAGATGAACCTAGAAATGTAGGGAGGGTCTAGACTGTGATGGCCTAAAATTGATTTTGTTTCCTGGAAGTCGGGGGAGCTGTTGAGAGCAGACGACTGAGGTAGTAGGTTTGCATTTTGAAAGATCACTAGAAGCAAGATGGAGGCTGACTTTGCATGAGACCAGTAGAAGCTCAAAGGGGAAGGAGACTGCTTTGTGAGGGAAAAGTAGGCAAAGCTTCCTAGAATGAGAGCATCTGTGGTGGGTTTTGAAAGATGGGCATGACTTGGACGTGTGGACTTGGGGCGGGGGGGAAGCGTATGAACAAAGAAACAGTGGAAGGAAAGCTGACCGCTTATACCAACAGTGCTGAGCAGTCTGATGTGATTAGAATAGCAAGGTTGGGATAGACCTAATAAATTCTCCTCCAGGAATTTTGCAAAGCACATTAACGTGTTAAAGGTTCTAGGGAGCCCTGCAGTAAAGGGATCTATTTAACTTTGTTTCAAAGAGCATTTCCCAGTCTCATCTGACCAAAACTCTCTCCCTGTTTTCCCGTGAATAGCACTTAATAATAGCTGTGGAATAAAGTTGGGGGATCACTAGCTTAGTGGGTAGAGTTTGGTTAAGATCAAACTGGGAAAGTAAGTAGGAGCTACATTTTTAGCCCCTTAAATATCAGACTAGGGAATTGGTCTACCAAATACATTTCAATTGGGGTTGGCCTCTGTTTGCAAGTGGCTTACATTGGTTCCACTCAAATTTTTTTGGCCAAGGCAAGCAGATGTATGACCTCTTCCTCTACAATGGTTTGTGAAAATGACTCTAGCAATTGTGATTATGTAGATACATATAAATAAAAGTGCAGAGGTTATGCTATTTTTTTTTTTAGTTTTCTTATTTATTTATTTTTTTGTGAGGAAGATTGGCCCTGAGTTAACATCTATTGCCAATCTTCCCTTTTTGCTTGATGAAGATTGTTGCTGAGCTAACATCTGTGCCAATCTTCCTCTATTTTGTATGTGGGACACCGCCATAGCATGGCTTGATGAGCGGTATGTAGGTCCTCTCCCGGGATCTGAACCCGTGAACCCCAGGCCGCCGAAGCAGAGCACATGAACTTAACCACTGGTCTGGGTCCTAGTTTATTTTTTAAGAGCTGAGGTTATGCTATGAATTTTTGTCTCTAGTTCCCAGAACAGTGTTAGGTGTTTAACTAGATCTCAGTAAATATTTGAGGAATGAATGAATTAGATAATGATCTCCTTATTTACTTGAAAGGGAGAGCAAAGTACAAACTTGAGAGATTTTACAGCTATAGAGTGTACCACACTTGAAAACTAATTCTATATAGTTACCTGCAGGATATCCAGGTATATATTTATGTACATAGGTTTTTGGAAATATTGTACTAGAGTTTGGGAGAGAAGTCAGAATCGGTGATAAAGATTTAGGAGACATTTGTACTGAGACGATTACTGAAGCCATGAGCTTTACAAGGCAGATTAGAGAGAGATTAGAGGACTGAGGAGAGACTGTGGGAGACGTAACGTTTAAGGAGTGGGCCAAGGAAGTACTATCAAAGCTGACTGAGGGAAGTGGCGGAGAGGTAGGATAACAAGTCAGGTTGTATGAGAGAAGTCAGCAAGTGAGGTTTGTAAAAAAATAGGAGTGAACAGTAACATTAGTTCCTGCAAAGAGGTCGAGGAAGATGAGCATGAGAAAAGACCACTCAGTTTGCGATTATACTTTCAAAGAGTATAAAACTACATAAGAAGCAACAAATATCTTGCAATTGAATCACCTAGGAAATAGGATGAGGTATTTTGATTATAACTTTTACACCAGCCTTTTGTATACATAGCCTGACTTTTAAAAAATGTTTTAAATTATGATCAGAAACACGTAAGTTTACCAACCATGTTGAGGCGTGCCGTTCAGTAGTATCACATGTCTTCCTGTTGTGCAGCAGCTCTCTAGAGCCTTTTCATCTTGTAGAATGAAATCTCGGTACCCTCTGACACCAACTCCCCATTTCCTTCTTTCTTCTTTTTCATATATATCCATCAACACTTTATTTGGGTTCCTTTACGGGCTGCACAAGATTCTTTTCTATTTCCCAGCTTTATTGAGATATAATTGACATATAACATTGTGTAAGTCTAAGGTGTACAATGTGAAGATTTGATACATGTATATATTGTGAACTGATTACCATAATAAAGTTAGTTAACACCTCCATTATCTCACATAATTCACCATTTTTTTTGTGTGTGTGACAAGATTATTTAAGATCTACTCTCTTAGCAACTTTCAAATGTGTAAGATGGTATTCTTAACGGTAGTCACCATGCTGTTCATTAGATCCTCAGAATTTACTCATAACTGGAAGTTTATACCCTTGACCAGCATCTTCCCATTTCCGCCACCTCCCAGCCCCTGGCAACCACCAGTCTACTCTCTGTTTCCATGAATTCGGCTTTCTTAGCTTCCACATAGAAGTGAGATCATACACCAACCCTCTGTTTCCTCCTTCCCCCAGCCCTTGGCAGCCACCATTCTACTTTGTGTTACTGTGAGTTTGACTACTTTAGATTCCTCATATGAGTGGAATCATATACTATTTGTCTTTTTGTGACTTGCTATGTGTCATTTCACTTAGGATGATGTCCTCAAGTTTCATCCATATTGTAGCATGTGACAAGGTTTTCTTCTTTTTCAAGGCTTCGTAATGTTCCACTGTATGTATATACCATATTTTGTTTATCCATTCTATTCATTGATGGTCATTTGGGTTGCTTCCATTTTCTTGGCTGTTGTGAATAATGCTACAGTGAACATGGATGTGCAATTATGTCTTCAAGATCCTGCTTTTAATTCTTTTGGCTGTATACCCAGAAGTAGGATTGCTGGATCATATGATAATTATATTTTTAATTTTTTGAGAAACCTCCTCCATACTGTTTTCCATAGTGGCTATGCCATTTTACATTCCCACCAACAGTGTCCAAGGGTTCCAATTTCTTCACGTCCTAATCAACACATTATTTTCTGGAGGTTCTTTATAGTAGCCATCCTAATGGATGTGGGTGGTATCTCATTGTAGTTTTGATTTGCATTTCTCTAGTGATTAATGATGTTGAGCAACTTTTCATAACTTTTTGGCCATTTGTCTTTCTTCTTTGGAGAAATGCCTGTTCAAGTCTTTTGCCCATTTTTTAACTGTATTATTTGGGTTTTCTTTGTTGTTGAGTTATAGAAGTTCTTTATATATTCTGGATATTAACCCCTTATCAGATAGATGATTTGCAAATATTTTCTCCCATTCCATAGGTTCCTTTTCACTCTGTTGGTTTTTTCGTTTATGTGCAGAAGTTTTTGAGTTTGTTATAGTTCCATTTGTCTACATTTGCTTTTGTTGCCTGTGCTTTTGGTATCATATTCAAGAAATCATTACCAAATCTAATGTTGTGAAGATTTTTCTCCTGTTTTCTTCTAGGAGTTTTATACTTTTAGGTCTTATGTTTAGGTCTTTAATCCATTTTGAGTTAATTTTTGGGTATAGTATAAGGTACACATCAAACTTCATTCTTTTTCATGTAAATACCTAGTTTTCCCACCACCATTTTTGAAGAGACTGTCTTTTCCATATTGTATGATCTTGGCACCCTTGTCAAAGATCATTTGACCCTATATACAAAGGTTTAATTCTGGGCTGTCTGTTTTGTTCCATTGGCTTGTATGTCTATCTTTATGCCAGTACCACACTGTTTTGATTACTGTAGCTTTGTAATGTGTTTTGAAATCAGTGTGTGTGAGGCCTGTAACTTTGTTCTTTTTTAATTCAAGATTACTTTGGCTGTTCAGGGCCCTTTGAAATTCCATATGAATTTCAGGGTGTTTTTTTCTATTTCTGCAAAAAATACTGTGGGATTTTGATAGAGGTTGCCTTGAATCTGTAGATCACTTTGGATGGTGTGGACATCTTAACTATATTAAATCTTCCAATCCATGAACATAGGATATCTTTCCATTTATTTGTGTCATCCTTAATTTCTTTCAGCAGTGTTTTATGGTTTGCAATGTACAAAAATTCCTCCTCCTTGCCTAAGTTTATTCCTAAGTATTTTATTCTTTTTGATGCTGTTATAAATGAGATTGTTTTCTTATTTTCTATTCAGATTGTTCATTGTTAGTGTATAGAAACACAGCTGATTTTTGTGTGTTGATTTTATATCCTGCAACTTTGCTGAATTGTTTATTACTTCTAATAGTTTTTTGTGTGGAATCTTTAGAGTTTTCTATGTATAAAATCATGTCATCTGTGAATAGAAATAATTTTACTCTGTCTTTTCCATGCATACTCTGATTTAATCCTCACATCTACCTTATAAGGTAGCTCTCATATTGCTGTTTTACACATGAGAAAACTGGATGAGTTATTCAGCTTTGCTAGCTTATGCTGTGATAATAACCAACCACAGAATCTTAGAGACTTAGGACAATAAAGCTTTCTTCTTGTTCATGTTGTGTTTCCCCTGAGGTCCATGTCTTTATTCTGGGATTCACCTGAAAGAACCACATGTGGGATGTTGCCATTTGCATGGCCAAAAGAAAAGGTTAGGAGTGCAACCATGAGATGGCCCTTAAAGTTTCTGTTTTAAAGTGGCTCGCTCACCCCCACTGACATTTTATTGGCCAAAGCAGTCACATGGCCACCTTGGACTTTAGTGGGGCAGGACCTGGATTCCTCCGACAGGGATGGCCCAGAAGAGAGGGGCCTAGGAGGCAGAGGGGATGAATGACTGTAATACGCTCTGCCTTACTGGGACTCGGCAAGGTCAGACATTTAGAAAAGGATGTGCAGCTGAAGTAGCTGTAATGTTGTATTAGATGAGACCGTTCAAACCAAGCAGCTGATATGGAGGAAGTTTCACAAAAGTAACATTAATGATACGTTACGTGCCTCGTGTATGAACTTCATTCTTAGAAAACTTACCTCCAGTTACTCTGCTGGTTCATTAAGTATACTCACAGTTTATTGCTCTCCTTTTCCTGAAAGTAAAACCCCATGACAGTGGTTTCCCGGGTCAGGACCTGCTCTCCACACAGTGCGACTCTTCTCTCAGCCACAAGCGATACCTTCCTGAGATGGCTCCGGGAGCCTTCCACCAGGGCTGAGACCTCCCCCCGTGACGCTGTTTGGCCCCCACACACTTTCTGTTAATATAGCACATTTCTTTGCTGCTTCCTGACAAACTCTTTCTTCTTTAGGATATAACTGAATTCTGTTTTGTTCTTTTTAAATTTTTTCTGGCCTATCAGGATTTAAGTGAGTCAGAGCTACTTAAGACTGCTTTTTACAAATACTGTCTATTTTTATGGTCACAATAGAAGGTAGTGGAGAGAGAAGGGGGAAAAAAGCCTGGATGCTAATCCCCTTTCTCCCGCTAGGCAGCAGTGCCACTTTGGATAGCTGCCATGCTCTTCTCCTGCCTTGGTTTCCTTATTTGTAGAATGGGGAAATCGAACTAGGTGATCTCAGAGGTTTCTTCCAGGTCTAAAATTAAATGATTCCTGTTCCCTTATTTTTCTCAGTTAATGAAAATATATTACTGATAGTTAAACTCCAGTAATTTTTCATATGATAGAAAAATTTACTCACATTCATGTCTCTGGTAGAGTTAGATATTTTGTGTATTAAAATATATAAATGTAGTAAAATCTTAACTATTTCAAGTTAAATAAGAAAGAAAAGGCCTTTCCGAATCATTGAAATACCTCAGTTATTGCCCCCAGTTACTTTATGGACTTTATTTTCAATACTTAAAGTAACAGAAGTAGTCTACCAAAGCATAGTTTAGTAGAATTTCTTGAGGGAATTTACTTAAATATATAGTTGCCATATCCATATTTTTTATTGTAAATTGTCATTATTGAACTAAAGTATACTTGAAATAATACTTGAAATTTTCCTTTTGTAAATATATCGTTGTGATTTTCCCATCTTCATTGTTAATAATATAAGCATAAACTATAGCATAATGACCCCTGGATTATCACAAACTCAAAATTACTAGCATCCAAATTAATGTAGAAATGAAACTTCATTTAAAAAATGGATGATAGACTGTTCAGGTATTTGATTGTGGAGAATAACCATTTTGTAAACACTATCTAAATCTAAATTAAAATACCCTGTGCTGATGCTGAAGAGGACACCTGGGATATTTCCTTAAAGTTCTCTCAGTCTTAATCTCTCTGTTGTTTTGTTTCCATGTTTACACTTTCTGTCTCTTTGCCTCTCTCTACATTCTTATACACACATCCACATATAAATACATTTATATAAATAATATATATAAATATAATATACATATTAAAGTAGAAAGAAGATGGAGAGAAGTAGATAGATTTGCATGGTATTGAGGAGGTGAAACTAATGGATGCCGTCAGTGGATTGAGTGTTATGAATGAGAAGCGTGAGTTAAGGATGACTCCCAGGCTTTGGCTTGGCTAGATTCATGGTAGTGTCATTTGCTGAAATAGGGAACTCAGGAAAGGACAGAGTGTGAGGGAGAAAGAAGGTTAGGCTAGTCTTGAATTGAGCAGTTTGAATTTGAGGTGCCTTTAAAATATTCAAGGGAAGTCTTATTGAACGTTCCTATCTGTAGCTGAGAGGGCTGGAGATAGAAATTTGAGAATCATATGCAAATAGGTGGTAATTAAAGCTGTGGAAATGGGTAAGATTACTGAACCTTTGAAGAATAAGTCAGTGCCTGATTCTGGGATTATAAATCTGCAAAAAGAGGTTGAAAGGCCAAAGCTAGCTTTTCTTCAAGTGTGTGAGTTCCAGAAGCAAGTTCAATGGTGATTGAGAAGTCAAGTAGGATTAAAAGGACGTCCATTGGATTTAGTGACAAAAGGAGGTCGTTGGTGATCTTTCCAAGAGTTGTATTTTCTTAATGCAAAGCCCTGATATTTCTTCACCCAGCAATCATTCCTTGACACCTCAATTTGTACTGAACAAATTCTGTTCTTTTTCACTTGGTATTTAACTCCATTCACGACTTAATTAAAACCTCATTTTAAAGCCTTATGCCACCCAGCTTATGAATGCATACCTGAAACTCCAGCAGAACTCTCCAACTTGCCTTTCCTTAGACAGTGTTTCCCTGTGGTCTTTCTCCTCATGCTCCTTCCTTATGGAAATCTTTCTGGTCCTTGGAGACCCAGACTGAACAGTACCCCTGTTCATGCATCCTTCCCTGGTCACTGCCCACCAAAGGGGCTCTTGGTCTGAACTTTCACACCTTCTTTTCACATTTCAGATGATATGTCTCACAAATGATCTTATATTTTACTTACTTTGTACTTGATTATGCTTATTAAGTTATGCCCTCCTTGAGATTAGAAAGTTAGTTCACTAACATTATGGCTTTCAAAGCATCTAATATTTTCTGAATGAATGAATAAAATTTTAAAAAATACTTCACAGAACACAACCTATGTGTTAGTCACTGTACGAAGTACCTGAAGACACGGTTTCAATTTCATTTAATTCTTATAGTAAGTGTATGAAATAGTTCTTATTCCACAGACATGAAAACTTGTGGTTTAGAGAGGCGTATTTTTTAAATACATCTTTGGGCTAGGGTTTATTAATTATATTTAAAAAGAGATGAAGGTCCAAGATTATAAAAAAGAAGGCTCATTGAAAGGTTGGCATCTAAAAGGAAGTGTGTTTGCATGTCATGCATGCACTATCTATATGCATAAAACATTTTCTTAGATAGCCACAAACTGATTTAAAAGTAAAAATGGTTGAGGTTGGCCCAGTGGCATAGTGGTTAAGTTCGCATGCTCCACTTTGGTAGCCTGGGGTTTGCAGGTTTGGATCCTGGGCACGGACCTACATACTGCTCATCAAGCCATGCTGTGGCAGTGTCCCACATACAAAGTAGAGGAAGATGGGCACGGATGTTAGCTCAGGACCAATCTTCCTTACAAAAAAAGAAGGGTAAAAAGTGTTGAAATTTGTCATGAATTTAATGGGAAACAAATAGTTTTAGAAGATTTCTTGATATATCCTAATTGACTTTTCTGTTGCTATGACTTAATTTAAATTCCTGGTAAACTGTCTAGAAATTAAGGTAATGAACAAAGATTATCAGCTCATTCGTAGTTTTCCTCACTTTTTCCTGTTGTGTTGCCTGATGTAATTGGTAGGTCTGGTGATGAAAGAAAAATACACAGAAGTTTATTACTGGCTGGAAAGGAGTGAAGCTACCACTTGGCTGCTAGAAAATTTCCTGCTACTTTTTTTCTTCGGATTTTTTTTCAGTCCTTTGTAGTGTTTAATGTGTGCAAGGCATTGCTGTGCTCAATGCTGGAGAAACGCTAAGCTGTATCTTAAGGAGCTTATGATCGGGGTGGGACATAGCCCTGTGGACACTAACTGTGATTCATGCGTAAGTGTAAGAAATATGCTCTGGGTGTCTGAGGAGGAAATGATCAATTCTGAGGAGAGATGGCTGCCACATTAGGGAGGGCCTTTTGAAAGTAGTGGTATAGTAACTCTTCACAAAATAAATGATCTATATTGAGAACTAAAAGAATAATGGCTTGTCTTTTGTTTTCTTAATAGACAAAGAATGCTGTTCAAGCTTTGATTGATGAGCACCAAAGAATACCGGGAAACATCATGAGTGCTTTGTTAGAACGTTTCTATAAAAAACAAAAGATCAACTAGAAGATGATTTGATACATTTATATTAATATGTGTGTCTCTAGTACTGTCTTCTAAATTTTGTAGGTACTACAATAAGTATTTTTTAACAAATCATGTTAATAAGCATCTTTTGCTGAACTTGTTTAAAATTGTATTGTCAGTTTTGTGTTTGCAATCAAATGTGTCAAATTTAAACAATAACTCATTACATGCCTATTAATTCAGAAAATGATCATGTTTCTTTTTATAAATTCCTAATGTATGATAAACATTTAGATTCTTAAAGTTAAGTTTATTAATAAGAGCAATTTATGTTAAACAAACATTCCGAAATATGCATCTAATTTCTGTATCTGTTGCACTGAGGTAATTTTGCGAGATGGCGTAACCTAGGGTTTAGGACAGACGCTTAAGTTAGAAAAGAAAATGCGCTTTCCTCTTCCTTTCATGATCTTGGGCAAATCGTGTAATGCTTTCGTGCCTCAACAATTCACTTTTTAAAAACATGTTATACTATGGTGAGCAATATTATTTTAAATTCTTTATATTTGCTGTGGTTGATAACCATAGAACCGAAATTATAAGTGAATTAATTAAACAATACCAAGATCTTTTAGAGTTTATGTATATATTTTGTTTATAAGATGTTTAAATTATTCCTTCAGATATGATGTCGAGTTGCCAAGCACAATGAAAAACATGTATTGCTTTTCATAATGAATAAAAATGTAGAAAAAATAAAATTTCTAATTATTATTATTTTTTTAGTATTGTGTTTTTAATGAGAATCTGTGAACAAACAGTATAGGGTGTTCTGTACATTGTCAGCCCTTACTATGGCATTTAATAGTGTCAGGTTAAAATCACTGTTGTGCTGTGTTTCATATCTTAGAAGTGGATTCTAGGCTGATGACAGTGGAGCTAAAGAAAGCTCTGCTTTTGCTCCATATCGTGGCTTGTTCAGTTTGACTTTGCAACTAGTCAGATGGTTTATTGTTTCATTAAAAATATACTTGAATGATGAATTTATGTGAACACACAGCTTTCTGAAAAATTAATGGCTTTCAATTTGCTGTCTCCTTGAAATCTGAATTTTAAAAGTATTTAAATAGAATAGTACCAGAAATCAAATGCAGTATCTCTTCTTCCTTTATAGATATTAAATTACTTGGATTTTTGTATAACAAGAGTATATGTATGATATGTGTAATGTGTATAAAATTGAACAACATAAAAATAAAAGTCAAACTGCATTGTAATTCATTTTCTTGTGAAGTTGCATGTGTGACATTTTCTTATTTTAAACTGATTTTTTTGTTTTATTGTTTATGCTTTCTCACCCACAATCATAATCATCTATCTCAGCCACAATGAATAAACCTTACTTTCCAATGTAATAAGTATATTTGAATTTCAATTTCAGTGAAAAGACTCAATTAATGATTATTTGCAGCTTTTTTCCCCTCTAGCAGTTTGCAGTGTTTATTTAAAATTGATAAATATTTCCAGAATGAATGAATAAATGATCATAAAGTGAATGAGAATAATGTTTCTGGGCAACTATTGGATTTTAAAAACTGAAGAAAAAGCAACATTCATTGCTAATGTAGCAAAAGCGATCATTTTTTGCAGTAAAGTTTACTGCTTTACTTAAAACCGTCTTTTGTTCTCTGATACTCGAACAGGAAGCCTTCCTGTCTTGCTTGATACGAGATTTTTATCTTTGCTATTTTATCTTTGAATTTAAATCTCACGTAGAAGAATGAGAGAATATGACTAAATATAGAAATATAAATAATAATGGAAAGAGGGTGTTCTTGACCCTTTTTGAAGGGAGTGTTCACAAGTCAGAATCTGAGGAAAGGTAGAGACTCTCCAGAAGCATGAACATGGCACACTTTTATGGAAATCTTTCATACCCTTTTTAAAAAAACTTTCATTTTGAAACAGTTTTAAATTTACAAAAAATTTGCAATAATAGTGCCGAGTACTCTCATAAACTCTTCACCCGGATTCACCAGTTGTTGTGGCACATTTGTTTTATTCCTTTCACACACCCCTCCTCCTCTCTCTCTCTCCATGTAGATAGCTATAAAATTTTTTCTCCTGAGTCATCTGAGAGTAAATCGCAGACACCATGTCCCTTACCTTTACCCTTGACTGTAAGGCCATCTGTTTGCAGCACCACAGAGCAATGACCAAAATCAAGAAATTTATCATTGCCATAATAGTATGATGCAATCTGAAGACTGAGTTCAAATTTTACCAGTTGTCTCAATAATGTCCTTTCTATCAATTTCTCTTCTTATCCATGGTTCATAGCAGGATCACACATGGCATTTAGTTTTCCCCTCTTGTTAGTCACCTGTAACTGGAATGATTCCCCAGCCCCTCTTTGTCTTTATGATACTGACATTTTGGGAGATGACAGACTATTTGTTTTGTTGGTAACCCTTCAATCTGTGTTTCCCTGACATTTTGTCATGATTTGATTCAGGTTATGTGTTCTTCCAGAAATATGACATTATTGGTGCTCTTCCCAGTGTGTCACATCAGGAGGTGCACGATTTTTGTTTGTGTCATTAGTAATGGTAGTAACTTTGTTCACTTGGTTTATGGTGCCCACCAGCTTTCTTGCTTGTATAGTTATTTTTTCCTTTGTAATGAATAAGTTTATGGGGAGATGCTTTGAGACTATGTAAATATCTGTTTCTCATCAAACTTTCACCCACTAGTTTTAGCATCCTTTGAACGAAATATTGCCTGAATAAATTATAACTATGAGAGTTTCAAAAGTGTGATTTTTCTACCTCTATTATTCTACGCTTATTATTTGGCATTCTACAATAAGAAAGATCTTTCCAATTTCCATCCCTCACACAGTTATTTATTATCAGCATGGACTAAAATTCAGATTTTGAGTCCCTGCTTTCAATTCTTTTGGGATATATACCTAGGAGGAGAATTGCTGGATCATATGGTAATTCTGTAACTTTTTGAGGAGCTGCCGAACTTACCCACAGAGACTGTACCATTTTATATTCCCACAGCAATATACAAGGGCTCCAATTTCTCTGTATCCTCACCAACACATTTCATTTTTTTTGATAATGTCTATCCTAATGGATGAAGTGGTATCTCATTGTGGTTTTGATTTGCATTTCCCTAATGACTAATGATGTTGAACATCTTTTCATGTGCTTATTGGCCATTTGCATATATTCTTTGGAGAAATGTCTATTCAAGTTCTTTGCCAATACGTGAATTAGGTTGTTGTTGTTGAGTTTTTGGAGTTCTTTATATATTGGATATGGATATTAACACATTAGATATATGATTTGCAAATATTTTCTCCTGTGGGTTGCCCTTTTACTCTTATGATAGTGTCCTTTGATGCACAAAAGTTTTTAATTTTGATGAGGTCTAATTTATCTTTTCCTTTGTTGCTTGTGCTTTTGGTGTTATATTCAAGAAATCAATGCCAAATTCAATATCATGAAGCTTTTCCCTCATGTTTTCTTCTAAAAGTTGTTTTTTTGTTTGTTTGAGGAAGATTAGCCCTGAGCTAACTACTGTCAATCCTCCTCTTTTTGCTGAGGAAGCCTGGCCCTGAGCTAACATCCATGCCCATCTTCCTCTACTTTATACATGGGACGCCTACCACAGCATGGCTTGTTGAGTGGTGCGATGTCTGCACCTGGCATCATGGCACCCGGGATCTGAACCGGAGAACCCCGGGCCGCCGAGAAGCGGAACGTGTGAACTTAACCACTGCATCACCAGCCGGCCTCTCTTCTAAGAGTTTTATACTTTTAGTTTTTAAGTTTAAGTTGATTTCTGTGGTTTAAAGTAAGGGTTCAACTTCATCTCTTTTGCATGTGGATGTCCAGTTTTTTCAGAACCATTTTTTGAAAAGACTGTCTATTCCATTATGTGGTCTTGGCACCCATGTCAAAAATCAACTGACCACATATGCAAGGGTTTATTTCTGGGCTCTCTATTATATTCCATTGGTCTATATGTCTGTTTGTATGCCAGTACCACACTGTTTTGATTACTGTAACATTGTAGTTAGTTTTGAGACCTAGAAGTGTGAGTCCTCCAATTTAGTTCTTTTTAAAAATTGTTTTGGCTATTTGGAGGCCTTTGAGATTTTACATGAATTTTAGGATGGGTTTTCCTATTCAGGGAAAAAAAAAAACTATTGAGATTTTGGTAGAGACTGTATTGAATCTGCAGATTGCTTTGGGTAATATTGTCATCTTGACAATATTAAGTATCCTATGAACACTGAATATCCAGTGGATATTGAGTATTCATGAACATGAGATGTCTTTCCGTTGGTTTATATCGTCTTAAATTTCTTTGGGCAATGTTTTATAGTTTTGAGAGTAAAAGTGTTTTGCATCCTTGGTTAATTATATTAAGTATTTTATTCTGTTTTAAATGGAATTGTTTTCTTAATTTCCTTTTCCACTGTTCGTTGTTAGTCTATAGAAATGCAAATGATTTCTGTGTGTTGATTTTGTATCAGCAACTTTGCTGAATTCATGTATTAGCTCTAACAGATTTTTTTGGTGGAATGTTAGCGTTTTCTATATATAAGTTCATGTCATCTGCAAACAGAGAAAATTTTTCTTCCTCCTTTCCAGTTTGGATGTCTTTTATTTCTTTTTCTTGCCTAGTTGCTCAGGGAAGAACTTTGGACACTATGTTGAATAGATGTGGTAAAAATACACATCATTGTCTTTATATGATTATTTTTCATGTTCCAAGATGATGCCTGTTTATGTAACTGAAAGAATAGATGTGAATCTATATATCTCTTCCATGTCACATATGTTGACTTCTACACATAATGCTGGTTTGTGGTAATAGGGTTATTTTGCATTCTGGGTGGCTTATGGTATATTTTAGATCATAATTCAATATCTGTGAAACGTTTGTTCTGTCTTGATCATCCCATCTAATTTACTGTACAGCAGCTGTTTGCTTATCCTATTCTCACTTTTCTACTATGTGCCATACAGCAGTGTTGAAAGTCAAGTACTCATTCTTTATTCAGAACCTTTGTTCAAAACTACATTTAACATTATTTCCCTATTTAGGACTATTGTTTGATAGGGAATACAGAACACGCTAATCAACCTAGTAGGCAAAATCAAATTTCAAGCGTAAACCCTCTCTTTTAAAAATTACTGTCTATATATCATTTTATACAAATCAAAATTGTGACCCTAAACTCTATAGCTCTAAATCAGAAGACACCATTTTCTGAAAAAGCTGTATTACTCTTTACCTCTCCTCAAAAAATTCTCTAACGCAAAGCTGCCTTTGGCTTATTCTGGGTCAATGAAGGAAGAAAAATATTCTCAACAAAATGTATCTACTAAAAGCTCAGTAATTCTCTGCCAGTGAAATTGGGCTTGATCCTGGTATCTATTAACTTACGGAAGTAAAAGTACACTCTCATTCTTGTTTTAAATCCAGTTTTCTTTTATATCGGAGAAGTACATGTGCTGAATAAAGCGTCTAAGGAAAAGCAGCGAGCGGTCCTTTGCCCTACGTGTTCCCACATCGGCTAGTCTCCCACTCCAGACCCTTGCAGTTCTAGCTGCTTCTGGGAATCACCTCTAAATAACGTGCTTATATACCACTACTTCTGGATTTGCCTGCTCATTTTCCTACTAATGTCCTACTGAGAAAGCTGGTGATCACTTACATCCACTGTTCCTCACACCTCTGCTATCTCCGTTCTTCCAATTGAGTTATCACAACTGGGGCTTATATCAGTATTCAGTATTACTACGACTATGCAAATATGTTTACGGAGGAGCCATATAGTATACTATGATTAAATTTCCTTTCTTCCACAGCCTTTTCCATTCTCCTGCCAAATTTGTAAGTATTTCCTTTTTCATTTGGTTAATTTTCTGTGGGTCCTTACAGTTCGTCCCCAATCTTTTCTACATAGTTGTAAAAACACTCAAAACAGCATTTACAGTCAAGCACATCAGCCAGTTTTTATTTGCTCCTCTCTTTTCGTGGTGCTAACTCTGCTGGCGCCTTCTGTACATCTGTTGCAATCTAGCATAGTTTCTCGAATCCTGCTGCGTCATCCTAGGAATTCCTTTGACTTTGCTCCTTTGGATTCCTGTTTCCTCCATCCCATTCTCCCTTTTTCTTGGCTAATACCTTTTAGTGAGACATGTCCTCCAGCAGTTTCCAGAGAAAGGTTGCATCAGAGATACATGGTTAAGCTT